GAGTTTATGGCAGCCCATCTCCACCAGTGTGGTTGCCTAGTGAGGCCTGGTGGTGGTGGTGGTGGTGGTGGTGGGGGGGGTTGGTCCGGCAAACCTGGAATTCTGTAAATTAGGTGATCCGTGTGGAAACAAACTAAAGGTGTAAAATAATGAGACTCAGACCCGTTCAGGAGGCGCGAGCCGTTACGTCTGTCCTGTTATTGTTGTTCCACCAGGCGTTCGGGTCAGATCTGATCCTTCTGCAGTTTCAAACATCTGCGTCACTCTGAGATGATTTTCCGATACAAACTTTATTATTTTGGAGCTGGAAGTCATTTTCTTCACACATCCTTTAACTTATTTAAATTAAGTTGATTTCTGGATGGTGACCAAAGCAAGAGCTAATACATAAGAATCATAAGATGTTCGGGTGGGATTTGAGCTGGATTCCTTCACATGAAGATGGACATCTGAGAAATCCGCTCAGAGGCATCCTGAGGGAATTCTGATCCGACTGTTGTTTCTAGAAGAAGAATGAAGCTGCTGCATTGCTGGGGCTGCGTGGGAGGACAGCGCCTCTGCTCAGGACAAAAGAGGGAAGTGATCAATGGCGACCTCGAGTTATTTCAGGATGACGCCTCCTGCTGCTCAAATCCAACAAGAATTTCACCTTTTTCCCGGGACAATGATCCAAAGCCTCCTCGATCCGGTCATTCCTGCAGGAATCCTGAAAAGCACTGGTTGTGTAGCGGACAGCAGCTCCTGCTGAGGCTTACCTGAAAGACCCGTTCACAAGCGCAGCAGAGGCAGCTGCTTGGGAGCCAGGAGAGATTTACTCAGTAGGAGAAAATGAAAAAAGCTGCATTTGTTTTAAATCCAGAACCAGCAGCTCCAGAGCCGTTTCAGGAGTCCGTTCAAACTCATTCACATCGTTCATAATGATGATTGAATGATTTTGCTGCTGGTGGTGGTCATTACACCAGCCTGCAACATAACAGCATAACAGCACAGTGCATGCACACCGCTGCCGTTCCAACGGGAGGGGGGGGGGGGAGGGCACGGGGTTTGGGGACCACAAAGAGGGGGTCCGGCCCGCGGGTTGGTTGACTACCGCCTGCATAGATACTTTTAAAAAACTGCTGAAAACACTAATTTCAATCAATCAATCAATCAATCAACTTTATTTGTAGAGCACCTTCCGCAACGTTATCAGAAGCCCAAGGTGCTGACCAGGATCATAAAAACACTCCCAGTACCTGGGCATCAGAGCAAGATAAAAACATAAAATCATAAAATAACAAGCAGCAATATTAAAAATACAGAGACGGAATGAGACTCATCAATTCAAAACAAATGGTGGACAAAATAAGATCAAGCACCCTGATCAAAAAGAAGAAGTATTAAAAACCATAATGTCAGGGCAGTTCAATGAACCCTAGCGCTGAAATGCAATCAAACAGAAATGAGTCTTTAGACAAGAGTTAAAGGGGCATTATGGAAGTGTGACAGCCAAAACATGTATAGAAATAATAAATGTCTTCTTCATACATTCTCCTGCAATGCCCTGGTCCTGTAGAATGAGCCCTGGCATTTTTACTGGGATTGCCTGTTTTTCTGTAAAATCACAGAAAAAGAGAGATGCTCGGGTCGAGCAGGCTGCTTCATGCGCGTTCACGCTCAGGCATCGCCCGTAGCATTTGCTATCCGTAGCTTTAGCAGCAGAGAGAGAGGCAGTGCCACTTTGTCGCTGTTCCTAACGCCTAGTGACAAAGCTAGCTACATTTCTGAGGACCCTTAGCTACTTTCTGTAGAACTTTCTTCTAGATATTTCCTGCTAATTAGCAACAAAATAGCCGTTTTCACTCCGAACCGTTCTTTGTTTCAGCTGTCATCAAGGATATATGTTACAGATGCTTTGAATGTAACTGGCGCTTTAAGACGTCTGACTCCCATGCAGAAGACCCGGGTTCGATTCTGGATGTGAACATAGTTTATTTAGAGTTTAGTTTTTACATTAATGATATATTTTTTACAGTAAGATGCCCAAATTTTTATTTGAGACTCGCTGAACAGCATTGAATTCACAGATAAAAAAGATGTGGGTTCAACTTTCATTTTGGAACAATTTTTCAAGCAAGGGAAGGGAATGATCTGAGCATGCAGGAGGACTGACCCATCATAAACCTTTGTCGCTGTGCTGAAGAGAAAGCTACAGAACCAAATTATTTAATTAATTAGCTGCGCGTTCTCCTGTCCTCTGTCCTCCGGGCCACACACACACACACGCACGCACGCACACACACACACACACACACACGCACGCACACATACACACACATGGGACTGTCTCAGCTGTTATTTTCGTTAAGGCGTGTGCACGTACAGCATGCGCGCCTCGTGCACGAGCCTCCTATTGAAGCTGCCGTTACGCTTTTGGCCTGAGGGGGCAATCGCGAGCATAAAAATTCAAAACTCCGTAAAGGCCCTTTAAAGACTTGAAGGCACGGTGCCTGCCTAATGCTCAATGGCAATTCATTCCACAGAGTTGGAGACAAAATAAAGAATGCACGATAACCCATCGATCGATATTTCGACCGGGGACCACTAGAAGTTCCTGCTCGGCTGAGCGAATAGACCGAGATGGAGCATACCTGTGCAAAAGTGCAGTAATGTAAGAGGGGGCACTGCCCTGGAGGGCTTTATAAACAAGAGCTAGGATCTTAAATTTAGCTTGATATTGCACCGGGAGCCATTGCAGAGCATCCAGCACTGGAGTAATGTGATCTCGGCATCTAGTACCTGTGAGGAACCTAGCCACTGAGTTCTGCACAAACTGGAGTTGTGCAACCGTGCACTGGCCCAGACTGGCATACAGAGCGTTGCAGTAGTCCAGACGGGACAGGACGAAAGCATGCAACACAGACTCCAGATGAGCTCTGGACAGCAGAGGCCTGATCTGGTACACCAAATGAGATGGAATTTGCGTAATCCAGTCGGGAGATGATCAAAGCAAAACATTCAAAGCTGCTTTTACCTAAATCTTTAATTTTCTTATTTTTACTCAGATTTGTAATCGTCTTTCATCTTTTTGATGGTATTTTTTAATTTTATGACTTATTTTTTCAGATTTTAATCTTTTTCTGTTTTAACATTATGATGTGACTTTATGATTTGTTTATTAATTTTCTTATTTTTACTCAGATTTGTAATCGTCTTTCATCTTTTTGATGGTATTTTTTAATTTTATGACTTATTTTTTCAGATTTTAATCTTTTTCTGTTTTAACATTATGATGTGACTTTATGATTTGTTTAGATTTGCTCTAAGAAAGAAAGAAAACAATGTTATATAGCACCTCTTAAGGTAAAAAATCACCTGGTGCTTCACAAAACAAATAATTTAAAATATAAAAAACATTTTAAAAAATTAACAAATATGTGCAAAATGACAAAAACAATTGTGATAAAAATGTTAGAAAAGGGAGAGAAAATGAACAGGAAAGAGGGAAACCAGTGGATCTTGGCAACAGCGGAATAAAAGCAGAACAAGGAGAGGGTGATGAAGGTCCCACAAAAGCCTGAACAGGTGAGTTTAAAGGAGACCACTGAGTCCACTGATCTCAGGCTCAGGGGGAGAGAAGTCCAGTCTGGGGGCCACAGCAGCAGATGATCTGTCACCTTTGACCTTTAGCCTGGTGCTGCACAACCAGTAGGCTTTGATCACTGGACCTCAGGGACCTGCTGGGGGTGTAGGGACTAAGAAGATCACCAATGTAAGATGGTGCTTGTCCATGTAAGGCCCTATAGACCAGAACCAGGATCTTGAAATGAACCCTGAAGTTGACTGGCAGCCAGTGAAGCTGGAGGAGAAGCGGGGTGATGTGGGTGTGTTTGGAGGACTTGGTCAGAAGCCGAGCACAGGCGTTCTGAACCACCTGTAGACGGTTCAGGGAGGTTCTGCTCAGACACGTGAAAAAGGAGGGTTGGCTCACAGGAGTTTTTGACAATTAAAATTGTACCCACATTTTCAAAGTTAAACATCTTTTTTCTGCATCTATACTGCTCCGCTTCAGACCCCCCCACCCCCCCACCCCGCGCAGCGGCCGCAAACTCACTGATGCGCCTGCAGCCTCTCAGAGTTCCTGCTGCTCTAAACATTAAAATAATTATTTCATTTTCTGGTGGGGTGAGGGGAAGGTTAAATTGCAAGAGGGAAAAGGTCACAATTCGGTCAAATGTCCGTTTTACTGCGGGTGTCAGTACCGATGCTCTGGCACAGCGCGTCGCCTCCCGACGTGCAGGGGCTCATCACCTGCTGTCATTTCTGAGGAATGCATCTTGTCGATCATTATCACGTGACAGCGACTAGTCGATGACAGGCATAAAAAGTCACTACAGAGCAGTCGGCTAGTTGATACAACCCCTATCACATATATGAAAATGAATCGCACATGCTGGAACTCCTGCTGCTGGCTCATTCTTCTCGCAGATCGAAGGCGGTAGGCGTAATTTCAGCCGGCTAATCAGTCCGCCATGTTGCCTCGGTCCCAGTCTGACCGCTGGGGAGAAGGTCTGAGAAAAAGAGTCGCCTCAGCACCAAAAACGCGAATCCAGCCCAAACTAACGCCATCCAGCCCGACCAAACCTCGACCATGCCGACGCTAATGTGTACGCTCCATAAGCGTGAGGAGATGAAGGTGTGGAGAACTGTCTCAAGTTCAGAGCGGGACAGAATGGGACTCAGCTTAGCAACGTTCCTGAGATGGAAGGAGGAGGAGCCAACAAGAGAACTGACATGAGAATCCAGGGTGAGAGCTGGGTCAAAGGTCACACCAAGATTCCTGACGCACTTTGTGATTTCTGTCTGTGACGAGTGCTATATAAATAAAATGTGCATATTTACTCATAAATGTAACTGGTAGTCAGCCTGCCGGGGGGGGGGGGGGGGGGGGTCACAGTTTGTTGTATTCATGACTTCCTGTCCTTTTGTGAACTACAACACTGTTTCCCATCATTCCTTAGGGCTGAGCATGTGATGCTCTCCTGGCGGTGTACTGACACTTCTCATCCAACCTGATGGAGCTTGAGAGGAGCTTCAAAGAGGAGCGGGCCAAACTGGCCAAAGACAGGTGTGCCACGCTTGTGACATCATAACTGGTGCCATCAACAAAGCTGTTAGTGGTCATGTGATTTCCCAGACTGTTAATTATTTAATACATTTGCAAATATCTCAGAAAAGATTTTCCCACCAGGTTATTATGGGATGTTGAATCCCATGATAGAAAAAAAAGGCTGGAAAAAGTGACGCCCTGGGAAAATTCTCCAGATTCTCCAACAAACTTTTATTTCCAACAGTTTGGTCTTATTTTGAAAGGATCTGTTCAGAGAAAACCACGTTCCTCTGGCAGCGGAAAATGTTTTACTGCTTTCTACGTCTGGAACTCTTAAATAAATGTTTGCTAAGAGGCAAAAACCTGGGTTATTAACAACCGAACGTGGAATGAATGGGTTCAGCTGCTGTGCTGGTAGTTCACAGGTGACTCCACCCAGAGGTACCAAGGTCCGGGGTGTTTCTCAATGTCAAGGCGCCTGGCCTTGCGAGGCGATGTCTTGCAAGGCCGGGCGCCTTGCTTACGAGGTCACGGTCCTTCCTTGGTCAAAGGAAACGGTTAAATGGAACAGACTTGCATCACGTGACCGCTGCTTCCACGGCGGTCACGTAACGTCACGTGACACGGGAGATAACGTTATATTTTATACGTATTAGTTTCAATATAAATATATAACTAGCCTTTTACTTTTTAAATTGTGTAAATGTTTATTAAACCCGCTAGCCACCGAAGCTGCAACTACTAAGCAACTAACCAACCATAGATAACTTTCTTTAGATCTAAAAAAAAACATTTTAAATTAGTTGACTTACTTTTAAACTTGAAAATTGTCCCCGAAGTAGCTGCCGGCTTCTGATCCGCCGTCTTTTTGAAAAAACGCGGTGTATTGTGGGTAAGTTTTGACCAAGGCTAGGCTGCAAGACACCTCCAGTGTATCCTCGCTCAGCTAGCTAAACAGCTACCAAACGGAGAACACACGCCTCGGTAGAACATTTACATTGGAACACGTCTTGGCGGGTCCCGATGACGTATCGCCTAGGCAACCGGGGCGGGGCCAAGACACCAATGCGAGGTTCCTTGGCATTGAGAAACACCCCCGGTCACCAGATGCCATGATGGCCACCACATCATCAACACATAGACGTCATTTTAACCGGAGACACCAGGGACATGTCCCCACTAATAAATTTAGCTGACATTTTCGGTCCGACCAGGTTCAGTTCAGCTTAAGCTTGGTTTATGCTTGACACATTTACTTTCCACTTGGTGATGCGGCTCGCGGCTGGAACGCGCTTCACAACTCGCAGCGTTTATGGTTCATGCGGCTCGTCTCTGCGGTGAGCCAATATTCTCCCAAACTGTAGGGGGCAGCATGGAGCTCTACAGCATGCATCCAACACTACACCATAGTAGAAGTAAAAATTACTGTTTACAACATGGCATTCCAGTATTTTTTAACAGCGTCCTCGTCTTTTCCGACAGTGCGAGCTATTTCTCTCCAAGAATTATTAACAACATGTTGATCACGGTGATCTCTGAGAGCTGAATCATACAAATGTCTGTATTTACGAACCTCTGCCATACTAGTTCTTGCCGGTCCGGCATGTTTTTCCGCGTCCGACCGTCCGTGTGGTTAGAAATTTTCCTAGGTGCGCGTAGCGGAAATTTTGGCCCGTGCGGAGGCGCGGTGGAGGGGCGTGGTTGTTAATAATGTATTACAGTGATCCAGTCTTGATGTAATAAATGCATGAACTAGTTTTTCAGCATCACTCCTGGAAAGGATGCTTCTAATCTTAGCAATATTCCGAAGGTGGAAAAAGGAAATCCTACAAACCTGTTTAACTTGGGATTTGAATGACATGTCCTGGTCAAAGATAACACCAAGGTTCCTTACTTTGTTCTCGGAGATTAATGTAATGCCATTCAGGTCAGGTGATTGGCTAAGCAATTTCCTTTTCTGGATTTCTGGTCCAAAGATGAGAACTTCCGTCTTGTCTTGATTTAAAAGCAAGTTTAGAGTCATCCAATTTTTTATGTCCTCAAGACAAGCCTGTAATCTACCCAACCGATTAGGTTAATCAGGGTTAATGGATAAATATAACTGAGTGTCGTCAGCATAACAGTGAAAGTTTATCCCATGCTGTCTAATGATTTTACCAATTGGGAGCATATATATAGTAAAAAGAATTGTTCCAAGCACTGAACCCTGTGGTACTCCGCAAGTAACCCTGGAGTATGAAGAAGATTTGTCATGTACATTTACAAAATGAAATCTGTCAGACAGGTAGGATTTAAACCAGCCTAACGCTGTTCCTTTGATCCCTACAACATGTTCAAGTCTTTCTAAAAGAACATTGTGATCAACTGTGTCAAAGGCAGCACTGAGATCTAACAAGACTAGAACAGACACAAGATTCTTATCTGAGGCCATAAGAATATCATTTGTAACTCTCACTAATGCAGTTTCAGTGCTGTGATACTCTCTAAAACCAGACTGAAATTCCTCAAACAGAGCATTAGTGTTTAAATGCTCACATACTTGGATGGCCACTATTTTCTCCAGGACTTTGGATAAAAATGGAAGTTTAGATATTGGTCTATAACTCATTGGGTCATCTGGATCCAGAGAAGGCTTCTTAAGTGAAGGTTTGATTACAGCAACCTTAAAATCTTGTGGTACATACCCATTTACTAAGGATAGATTGATTATATCTAGAATGGGGGCAGTAACCAAAGGAAATGCATCTTTAAATAAATTGGTTGGGATTGCAAGTATTGCCTTGTTGGCATCCTTTCTCATAAAGTATAACCAAACAGTCGAGCGTTTGTGCTGCTTAGGTGCCATGTTTCCTGTTGAGTAAATGCGTAAGCTACACAACCTTCACCTTCTCAGTGGCCTAGTGGTAGAGTGTCCACCCTGGGACTGGGAGATCGGGGTTCAAATCCCGGTCGGGTCATGCCAAAGACTTTAACAATGGGACCCAACGCCTCCCTGCTGCTTGACTCTCAGCTTTAAGGGGTTGGATTGGGGGGGGGTTAAACCACGGCTGCAGCTCACCGCTCCCCATGGGGATGGGTCAACGTGGAGATGAATTTCTCCAGTAGGATCATGACTTTGGGACTTTACCCTGCATGGCGACGTCATTCATGTCAACTGGAATTTATAAGTGAAATGGTTTCTGGGAACCGGTTCTCAACAAGAACCAGTTTTGGATTCCCACTCCAATGCCCTAGCATGGTCAGATGACAAACTGAGTGAACCAACTTCAATAACAAGGTAAAATTGAACTCTTTAGACTCATCGCAGCTCCAATTCAGCTTTGTTTACCAAATGAACAGCTGATAAATGCATGAGACACCAAACCTTCTCATCATAAATTCAATTCAAGTTTATTTATAAAGCGCCGAATCACGACAAGTGTTGTCTCAAGGACCTTCACATAATAAACATTCCAATACAGGTCAGTTCATTAAGCCAATCAGAAAAAGTTTCCTGTATAAGGAATCCAGCAGGTTGCATCGAGTCACTGTTTAATATCAGTTAAAACTGACTGTTCATCTGGGAGCGTCAGGAACTCTGTGCTGCAGCTGATCTGGCTTATATTTGAACAGATGGGGTTTGTCTTTATGACGATGCCCTGGCTAATCTGTCAGATAAAAGCTGGATTTATGTTTGAATTACACCTTTCCAGTTTATTCCTCCTGGTTTTCCTCAGAGTGGCGTATCAGAGTTTATAACCTCAGAAACGCACGAGGATAACCAACAGCAGTGAGTGTTTGTTTGTTGACTGGAAGATTTCAGGGGCCTCGGCCTGCTGCAGCAGGGCAGAGAGAAAACATCGGTCCGCAACCGGAACGCCAGCCCCCACAGGTCCAGGCTTTCCTCCTCTCAGTGGAGGAAAGGCTTTTATAAATGTCAGGAGATGATTCACAGCCTCTGATTGGTGGATGTGAAGTGTTTTCTCAAGTGGAGACTGGAAATCAAACCGAGCAGCTCTGAGCTGATTGCAGAGGAAGTCTGGAGGTGGACAGTTGGACATTAATACAGGTGCTGTGTCCCCCCAAAAGCAACGCTGTGGTACCGAGGTCCTACACAGCTTCTAGAGGACTTTACAGAACACAGTGACGCGGTGTCGTTAAAAGAGCCGAACAGAGTGGATTCATTTCCCACTACTTCTGCTCTTTTTAACGTAGTTGTGATGAGCACGGCTGGTTCAACTAGCACAAAGCATCATTTAAATCTTTAATTCAGCTAAAAATCATCTCAGTTGTAGTTTTTACCCCGACACCGAAACTATTCTCTCCTCCTAAACCAACATTTATTTTAAATCATCAAACTCCAGATATTCTCAAATGTAAGCTCACATAAGCTAACCATGTTACTGATCAGGTTAGCACAAGGGCCTGCGTTAGCGTATGAGGGGGGTTCATGAACGTAAAGCCATCTCTACGATGGGTCGGAGTAAATGTTTCTACTTTGATCTTGGGTCCGTTTAAACTGCGTGACTCAGTCTTCCTGTTAGCATCAGCTAGCGCCTGCTGCTTTTATGATCTACGTTATTTCTGGACCTCGACAACCCACAGCATCATAAAAAACGACAGGCAGCGCTCTGCATATTTGCATCCATTTGGCACCAGAATCTCAGCCGCGTCTGACAGCTTCAGTTTGGATTTTAGTTGGGTTTCTGACTCTGATCCGATTTTTAAATTCTTCAGGAACCTTTTTAAAACTTTGAGACATTTTATTTACATTTTTGATACAGAAACCGAAGTTGTTTTTGGTTAACTCACTCAAAGTCAAACATGAACTTTATCAAAAATTAAACAAAATGCTGCGAGGTTATCACCTGTTCCACATCTGTACTGGTTCTGGTCCACTCCCAGTCACTTTCCACTGATCTTGTGTTTTTTGGTCTCGTTGAGCATCACTGGACAGACCTGGGGACACGAGGATGATGGAGAGTCAGCAGGTACTGCAAAAACTCTTCAACTGCGTTGCCGTAGCAACAGGAAGCATGCAGATCAGGCAGCTTTTTTTTAACACACACACATTATAACACAGAGGTTAGCACAGGATTCCCTGCTAATCCAGTTTCCATGACAACTCACAACTCCACTGACTCTCCATCTGCGCCGCTTTCATCTTCAGCTGTAATGGAAGCAGCCATTAAGTTGTGACCGGCGTTATTAGGAACCGCATTCAGCTACTAATCACCACCAGTGAAGATGAGTCAAAACCATAATTAAAGTCTTGTTGAAACACCAGCAGGCAGATGAACTCTGAACTGTTCGGTTCATGTGGTGCGTTCAGGTTTGTGGGTAAATGTTTACACTGGCTTGTTTTTATTGGGGGTGGGACGATAGAGGTGTAACACTCTGAATCAGGTTTATTGGTCTGTAGGTGAGAGACTCTGTGAGGAGCGGTGCATACAAGCAAGGAGATATATAAGTTAGGACACATCAGCAATAATCAACATAGGGAACACATCAAGAAAAATAACCAGTCATAAGCATGAGAATAACGGTGACAGATCGATGTGGTTCAAACAGCTATTAGGTCTTTAGGAGTCTTACAGCTAGGGTTGGGCATCGTTTGATTTTTAACAATTCCGATTCCTCGTTTCAGTTCCGGTTCCTATCGATTCCCTATTCCGATTCTTTGAAGACATGACGTGTCTCACATGAGCCAGCTAACCACAGGTCCTACTGGATGAAATAATCTTAACTTCAACATGAATTTTAACTCTATGAACAACATCACCTTCATTTAGACTAAAACATGTTTTGGAGAGAAAAAGAAGACGACTTGCAGCACAACCAGTGTGTTTGTTTCTGACCACGACCAAAGTGTGGAAGCAGCCTCTGGGATGAGAGGCTAAACGTCTCCAACATATCCAGAAACGTCCAGCGGGCAGCAGCAGCTCAGCGGGTTGTCCAGTAATCGGAAGGTTGCAGGTTCGATCCCGGCTCCAGACGGAGAATTCTGCTGTTGTGTCCTTGGGCAAGACACTTAACCCACCTTGCCTGCTGGTGGTGGTCGGAGGGACCGGTGGCGCCTCTGTCAGTGTGCCCGAGGGCAGCTGTGGCTACTCGGTAGCTCATCACCATCAGTGTGTGAATGTGTGTGTGAATGGATGAATGATACACTGTAGTGTAAAGTGCTTTGGAGTCCTTACTCTGAGAGGCGCTATACAAGTGCGGGTCATTTATCACTTAGCTACAACTCTCAGGATGATCACGTCCAGGATGACTGAGAACTGCACCTCCATGCTGCAGCAGCTTCAGTCAGAAACTTAAACGTAGCTGCTGTCAGTAACAATCTAACAGATTTAAACATTAAAACTCAACAGAAATAGTTCAGAAAGGAAATTAAAATGTTATTTATTATAATTATTATTATTATTATAATAATTATTATTTATTGTGGCAGAAGCTGGTGTGGTCCACCACAGAGAATCTGCTCTAGCATGATGACTTTAATTATTCTGCAGGTTATTGTTCAGCCTTCTGACACACACACACACACACACACACACACACACACACACACACACACACACACACACACACGAGTGTTGTGAGCGGCTGCGTCTGACTGCTGACACTCCGTGTGTGTTTTTATTTCTGCAGTGAGACAAACTCACCTCACACCGTCCAGAGTTTGTTCTTTAAAGCTTCTATTAAATCCACCGTGTTGACGTATTTAACACGTTTCCTCTACGCTGCAGGAGTTGGTTTACAACACGGAGTGAAAGTTCGGCAGATGCGTTTGTTTATATCTGGGTGGGGGAGGGGCTCGGTGCTGCACACAGACAGCTGCTGTGATCAGCTCTGAAAAGCGTTCATCACAATTTGCAGATCACATTTATTTTTCACGGAGATCGGCCGCGGATTCCTCTTCCGGTCGGCATTCTAGGAATCGAAACCAGGAACCGAAATAAAAAACTTTGAACAATTCCGGGAAAAACGAACAGATGGAACCGGTTCCAATCGATGCGCGATGCCCAACCCTACTTACAGCAGAAGGGAAGAAGCTGTTTTTGCGGCGTGAGGTTCTAGTCTCTAAGGACCTGAACTTCCTGAAGGTAGAGTATCAAACAGTCCATGACTAGAGTAGGAAAGAAAGATGGTCCCTACAGCTAATCATCACTAGCAAACAAGAATGTTTTCAACTCAGTGGGACTTACTGATCTAAGAGTCATCAGCAAAGTTTATTTTCCGGATTTGACCAAAGCAACAATAATCCCTCATGGAGGGGGCCATCGACTAGCACACTGCTGCTAACCACTTAAACATTCTCCCTCTCCTGATAATAACTTGTTACTTACACACTTTTACTTGTGTGTGTGTGTGTGTGTGTGTGTGTGTGTGTGTGTGTGTGTGTGTGCGCTCTGTCTTCTCCATCCCCAGTGAGTCGTGGAGGATGGCTGCTTATACTGAGCCAGGATTCTCTGGAGGTTTCTTCCTGTTAAAAGGGAGTTTTCCTCTCCACTGTCACTGCATGCTTGCTTAGTATGAGGATTGCTGTAAAGACTCTGACACTAGTCAGTGACTCGATGCAACCTGCTGGGTTCCTTATATAGGAAACTTGTTACTGATTGGCTTAATGACCTGACCTGTGCTGGAATGTTTACTGTGTGAAGGTCCTTGAGACGACTCTGGTCCTGATTTGGCGTTTTATAAATAAACTTGAATTGAATTGATCCCATCATTGATCAACATAAACCAGAGTTTGAAGCTCAGGCAGCAGCGGCTGATTCTTCTTTGTTGTTGTTTTGAGCAGAAAGACTAAATCTGAGATGGTTAGTTCCTGTAGTTCCAATCCACCTTTATTTGTAGAGCACTTTATACTAGGGGCTGTGTGACTTAATTTTTTTTTAAGTCAACCGTCAAGTAATGAAAATTGAGTTGACTTCGACTAGTCGTTGACGACGTCACACACCTGAAGCCGCTAAAACTGACGATGTGTGACCAAGCATTTTTTTCCGACGTACGGGGGGGGGGGGGGGGGGGTTGGTTCGCTGGAGTTTTTGACAGTGAAAATTGCGCCCACATTTTCTAAGTTGAACACATTTCTTTTAACAACGGTAGTTTCTGCATCTTGCTTCAGCCCCCCCCCCCCGCGCAGCAGCCGCAAACTCACTGATGCGCCTGCAGCCTCTCGGAGTTCCTGCTGCTCTAAACATTAAAATAATTATTTCATTTTCTGTTCCTCACTTCTGATTACCTTCAATGGTGTCTGTTTGTTGCAACCAGCAGGTACAAAAACTAACTTGTTTTTATTTGACTATTTTTCTGTCCTGTCTGTTTATTATCTTCCTGCATCTCCTCTCAATCCTAAAGAGAAACTGCTACCTGCCTTCATATATATTCACCTCATGAGTTACCTTTGAACTGCAGTTCTAAAAGATCTACCGACCGCTAAAACAGCGGAGTGCTCGCCGGCCGCATCAGTGAGGTGCGTCACCGGAGGACAAAACAGGTGATGCGCCCCGCTCCACAGCAGCAAAAAGCATCAGGCACAAATAAAAGACAGAAAACACAAAAGGAAATGAGCCGACATGAACGATCGTGTGTTGAATTTGTTTTTGAGGTGGCGACACCTGATTTGATAATGTTACTGTGGCCGTACTCAGGACGCAGATGTCTGGAGCACGTCAGCGATCAGAGCTCTGCATGCGCAAGCTGGTTAAGGTTAGGATGGGGGTGAGGGGAAGGTTAAATTGCAAGAGGGTAAAGGTCACAATTTGGTTAAATGTCCGTTTTACCGCTGGTGTCAGTACCGATGCTCTGGCACAGCGCGTCGCCTCCGCCTCCCGACGCGCAGGAGCTCGTCACCTGCTGTCTTTTCCGAGGACTGCATCTTGTCGGTCATTATCACGTGACAGCGACTAGTCGATGACAGGCATAAAAAGTCACTACAGAGCAGTGAAGTCGACTAGTCGACTAGTTCATACAACCCCTACTTTATACACAACACTGTCGACCAAAGTGCTTCACACACAGAAAAAAGCATCCAGACAGAATTACAAACAGTAAAAACATGGATAATATATTAAAGCATACAAAACATTGTAAAAGAAATAAAACACAACATTGCTTAAAAACAAGAATGGATAAGAATAATCGGTCAGCGTTAAAAGCCAGTGAATAATAGTGAGTCTTGAGAAGCGACTTAAAAACAACTAGAGAAGATGTCTAATATTGCCTGGAAGCTGGTTCCAAAGTCCAGGTGTGCCAGCGAAGAAGGACCTATCTCCTCTCAGCTTCAGCCTCGTTCTTGGAACCACCAACTGCTGCTGGTCAGCCGACCTCAACTGGCGAGTTGGCTCATACTCAGACAGGAAGAAGCCAGTCAATTCAACGATTTGTACGCCAACACCAATATTTTAATACGAACTCTAAAAGCAACTGGAAACCAGTGCATAGAAGCCAACACCCGGGTGGCATGCTCATGCCTGCGAGTGCCCGTTAGCAAATTAGCCACAGCGTTTTGGACTAACTGAAGTCTTTTGAGACAACCCTGACTCACCCCGACATACAGACTATTACAGTAGCCAAGCCTTGAGGTGATAAACGCATGAATGAGTCTTTCCAGCTCACTTCTCACCAGAACTGACTTGACTCGGGCCAGCTTACCTGCAAACAGTAAACGTCGCATGGATGTGCAGATCATGTTTATATCGAGTCTGTCGGTCCAGTGCACTTCAGTAGGACGTCCAAACTAGGTCTTTGCACAGCGGGTTCCTTAGTTGGAAGAAGCAGGACTTCACCACACAGTTAATCTGTTTATGAAACTTCAGCTCTGCATCAACCTTCACATCTAAGTCAGTGATGACCTTCATAGGAACGGGTGTCAATAAATCCAAAGGAGAAGAGGAGATGGTTGATGTCCCACTAGGTTTAAAGTAGATTAAATCCGTTTTGCTCTCATTTATGCTCAAAAAGTTTGCGGCCATCTACCCTTTGACCTCCTCAATACATTGTAGGATGCTTGCCACCCTTTTTACTGGTCTGACAGTCATCCATGTAAAAAAGAAAGGACAGACCATATTTCCTAAAAATGGCACCTAATGGAATCAGATATAAGGAGAATAGTAGCGGCCCATGTATAGAGCCCTGGGGCACACCGGATTTTAGGGAAGCCTCCTTAGAGCAGACATCACCAATACTAACAGACATGGTCCTATAAGAAAAGTATGATCTGATTCAATTCAGGGCAGTTCCCCTTAGGCCAACATATTCTTCCAACCTTGCCAGTTAAACAGAGTGGTCAACTATATCAAAAGCTGTAGTTGGGTCCAACAGCAGTAGGAACACCATTTCACCAGAATCCGTAGCCAGAAAGATGTCATTAAAAACCTTCATCAAAGCAGTCTCAGTACTGTGATGGGATTTAAAACCAGATTGAAAAACTCAAAAATCTGGTTATCATCAAGAAAAGCAGTCAGTTGCGTAAGAACAACCTTTTCCAACACCTTACAAAGAAAAGGAAGCATTGAGATTGGCCTACAATTGGATAAAACCGTTGTGTCCATTCCAGGTTTCTTAACATGGGGCTTAATAATGGCATGCATAAAACAACGTGGAACTTCACCAGAAGACAGGCTGGAGTTCACAGTATTCAGCACGTCAGTGGAAATGGCTGGCCAGCTTATCTAGATGTTTTAAATCTTTATTCTCCTTTGTGAGCGATGGTGGCAGATGAGTTAAGTGTCTCCCTGTAACAGGATGGTTGCAGGTTCGAGCCCCGCTCAGTCTGTCACAGTTGTTATGTCGTTGGGCAAGACACTTAACCCACCTTACCAGCTGGTGGTGGTTGAAGGGACCGGTGGTGCAGCCTTGCCTTCGTCAATGTGTGCAGATCCGGATCCTCGCCCAATATTCCCGATGCTCCTCCACCCTCTGTCCACTTAGTAGTCAGTTGCTCAGCCCCTCCCCTCCAGAATTCTCTGATAAAAAGTATATTCATCGTTGTGTAGTTTAGTAGATTTTCATACTTCGTATATTTTCAGTGATACTGTCGGTTTTGTAGTTTTTACTGTAAACAGGCGGTTCTTTTAGCTGAGCAGCAAAGTTCTTAGTAACAAAAACATTTCATTCATTTTGGTTCCATTAAACATAAACATGTCCTTTAGTTAAAACAGCTTAACAGTTGGTCTCGTCCTTGTTCGGCTGAAAAACAGGATGTGATGTCACAACTGGGGCAGCAGTAGTTCAAGAAGTAATCGGAAGGCTGCAGGTTCCCAGCTTCAGGAAAAATAATTCTTCTGTTGTGTCCTTGGGCAAGACACTTAACCCACCTTGCCCGCTGGTGGTGTTCGGAGTGCCCGGTGGCGCCAGTGCACGGCAGCCTCGCCTCTGTCAGTGTGCCGCAGGGCAGCTGTGGCTACATGGTAGCTCATTACCACCAGGGTGTTAATGTGTGTGTGAATGGATGAATGATACACTGTAGTGTAAAGCGATTTGGAGTCCTTTGACTTTGAAAGGTGCTCAGCAAGTGCGGGTCATTTATCATTATCATAACTGGAGGTCCAGTCAGACGTGTCGGTACAGAACCTGATCTACAGCTGATCTGTGTGTGGGAGGCTGTCAGACTGCTGGTCAGACATCTGAATATAAAGTATTTTCATCTCTGGGTTGTGTTTAATTTAAGAAAAATGTCAGGAGATGCTTTATTTTTGTGTTTTATTCTGAAATAATCAGATAATAAAGATATTTAATAATTCATCTCTGAGTGGTTTGTGCTGAGGCGTTATGACCCATTGGTCAACGTGTCCACACGTCACTGTTCTCCAAACGTTTTTGTTTCCAGATGATTTATTTGATGTCGTTATTCCCTGTTTTTCCATTTTCCAGCCCCATGCCTCTGAGTCCGACTGCTGACACCAAACATGATCGCCCGCGACAACAGGCGGTCACTAACGGCAACCCAACAGGCTCTGCTGTCGCCAGGGACGATGACGTGGATGACACGCCCCCTGGAAACAGCATCGTGGTCCGTATCGGCATCCCGGACCTGCAGCAGACGGTAACACCTCCTCAGAACCTCAGCGTGAACAGAACCATGGAAATAAAACACGACACAAACCTGTCTGTGTGTCTGTCTGCACCTGTCTCTTTCTCTGTCCGTCTGTTTGTCTGCCTCTCTGGTCTCCGGCTCTCTCAGAAGTGTTTGCGGTTCGACCCAGAGTTGCCAGTTTGGACCAGTAAGCAGAGGGTTCTGGTGACGTTGACTCAGTCTCTGTCGGATGTTTTGAACTATGGTCTCTTCCAGCCGGCGTTCAACGGCCGAGCAGGAAAGTTTCTGGATGAGGAGCGACTTCTGAAGGAGTACCCTCTTCCCCCCATCACCCCCATCCCGTACCTGGAGGTAAACGGTTCTACAGGTCACCCGTCTGTTCTTTACGGAGTTTTTATTACAAACTGTTTTTACCAGCAGAGGGTTGGAGCAGCACGACTCGGTCCAGCTTAAATACCAATGTTTCATTTTCTCTCAGCAGCAGAAATGATTTCAGCTCATTTCATTTCAATTCCTGCAGGTTTTCTTAGGTTTTCAAGTGATAAAAATGATAAATTCAAAAGCTCTGAATTGCGTGAACATGGAAGGTGACTCCACTGCCTTCTGCTGTTGAAGTCGTGAGATCACATCTTCGGAGCCGCCATGTTGTTTTTGTAGAAATAGCCTGTGTAAAGCAGACGCTATTGCTGTAACCTACTAAATAAAGTTAACTGGCTGAGGCGGTAACGGTTTGACTGGATATATTTTGTGTATTCCCACTTGTGTTTCTTCTGATTGCGTTATTAGGTTCTTTTTTTTAACACAGGAAAGACAGTTTTATCTTTTTGCTGACAGTTTCGACCACTCCTGCGGTCTTGTTCAGATCTAGCCGCTTGTGGCGAGGTCACTTCCTTCTCCGTTTGTACGCGGTAAAACAACCTTTCCTGTGTTAAGATAAAGAACCCAATAATGCAAACAGTCTGACCAGATTCCGTTTAGAGAATCTGGGCTGAAGAGGGATGGCGTTTAAGGTGATTTATTTATGAACATGTGATGTATAAGTGGTCTGTAATGCAAACAGAATAAACAATAAATAAATGTACATAATACATAATTCCAGCTTATAACAAGTACTGAAATATCTAAGTGTTACCACCGTGCACAAACAATTACACAAACGGGCAATAAGACATCTGAGGCCTAAATTTGCATTAACCAGAAATATGTCCAAATATATCCTAAGTAAACCAAAGGGACTAAATGCAAAAGCACACTATGGTTTAGGGTCAAACTGAAACATTTAACTCACTTCTACCATCCATATCCCACGGGAGACATAATCATAATGAGCGAACGACTCTGCTCCTCCGTAGCACCAGAAAGACATGCGTACTGCTGACTCACATGGAGAAAACTAAAGGGTTCAGTCTCTACAGAGGTCGCCCACCAGAGGGCTCAGCTAACTAGGCTTTCTTACACAGCTTCCCCCAAATGTAAGCTAAGACATTAGTAATCACTGAGAGCCTGGCAGAAGTTGTGTCCGTGTCCTCCTCTGCGAACTTGGGGAGCGAGATGAGCCGGGCCACTGGATGAGAAGGTCTTACCTTTGACCATTATAGCTGCGGATTGGACACGTCCATCTGATCCTTTAAAAGTCTCAGTGACAGTGCCCACAGGCCAAAGGGCCCGTGGAAGCTGTGGGTCCACGATGAGCACAACCTGGTTAATCTTAAGGTCCTTACTGTCAGTCTGCCATTTCTGACGCTCTTGGAGACCAGGGAGGTATTGGCAGATAAATGTGGTCCTCAAGTTGTCTGCTGAGATCTGACTATGTCGCCAACATCTCCGTCCCAGCAGATTGGATAAATCATAGAACACCTGAGGTGGTGAAGCATCCCTGCATCCCATAAGAAGAAGAGTCTGTGTTATAGGCTCAGCGTCAGCGATGTCTGAAGAGGCATAACCAAGTGGCTTGGCAATCAGGCCTCCTTTTATCTCCACGAGAAGGGTGTTAGGACAGGCTCTGGTACAGACTGCTCTTCGAGGATAACCTTTTTTTTTCTTCTTCAAGGCACTCGCGGAGTACAGACGCTTCTCTTTCGCTCCCTCATCTTTTTTTTCCCAAGGCTCTTTGTCCTGTCTGCCCACAGAGCGCTTCTCTGCATTTCTTCTGAAAAACCCTATTTTTACTAACCATGGATTTGATGAATTGGTCATTCAATGCGATCGATAAGATTTTTTCAACAATGAGAACGGAGCAGGGGGCTCCCGCAGGCCCACAGGGGACACACCCGGTGGGATATATGTTGGATTCCTGGAGGGAGTGGAAGATCATGTGCCTCTCCCAGCTGTCCATTGAGGATATCGAAGACGTGTGGATATTTGGTCTGATGATCACTGGATTTCTCCTGATTGGAGTGGGAGGATATCTGGTTTTCTGGAAATTTGGGAAGATGGGAGCGATTGGAGGGCGACCCGCACCCACGGAAAGCACCGTCCGTGTGGAGACTTCTCAGACTGGGACGTTACTCGAGGTGAATCGTAAGCTGGACAATGTTCAAGCTGCGATACCGGTATTAGTGCGCAAAATGGATGTCATCTCGGAGAGGTTCACCGGACGGTATGGACAGGTTTAAAAACCCAAAATTGGCTTCACTGAAGGACTGGAATGGTCAGTTTAAAGACTGAAGGCAGAGAGGAAAATTATCTCAGCCCAAACAAATTCTTGTTATCTGAATCTGACGCCCTGGTAGCCTTGAGCTGCAAGAAACTAAAACCCCCACGAAGGAATGCAGACAGATGCTGTGAAAACCCCACCTTCGAACTGGTGGACTTCAGCCTGGTGAGGTCATCCATCTGCAGGAGTCAATGTACTCTTCGCTTCTCCCAAGATCTCCCTCCCACCTGTGACTGTACAGCAGGTCCCCAGCCCCCCCCCCCCCCCCCCCCCCCCCCGGCCTTCCTATTGGAGTCTCATGTTATGTTGTGTTGTCTGAAGTCTGTTGCATATCTGTTGAGGTGTTTTTTTGCAGAGCAACGCTGCCCTCCTGGTGGAGGGTAACTCTGAAGTGCCTCTTTTTCCCTCCACCTGAACCAATCCTCATGTAACCCTCTTATCTCTATTAAGGTAGCGCGACTCAGGTTGCGAATGACCACAGTCACCAATTCTTGTCATGTGTCTTGCCCATGTATGTCTGATCTCTGAATTGTGTGTACTGAAACTCTAATTTCTCTCTGGGATTAATCAGAATCAGAAAAGGTTTATTGCCATTGTCAGTGAACAAACAATTCACAAACTAGGAACTTGCTTTGGTTTTAATGTGCTACATATAACATGAACACGCAATAAGAATAAAAATAGAATAAAACTATCAGCTATAAAAATGGCAGGTAATGGTAATATGGCCAATAACGTGACGATGTGACGAGTACAGAAGACGAGCATGGTTGCATGTTTACAAGCTGTTCACAAGTCTAACGGCAGATGGAAAGAAACTGTTCTTTGGCGGGAGGTTCTGGTCCGGATGGACCGTAATCTCCTGCCTGAGGGAAGCAGCTCAAAAAGTCTGTGTCCCGGGTGAGAAGGGTCAGCTGCTATCTAACCTGCACGCCCCCGAGTTCTGGAGACGTACAGGTCCTGGAGAGATGGAAGGCTGCAGCCAATCACCTTCTCAGCAGAGCGCACAATGCGCTGCAGTCTATGTTTGTCCCTCACTGTGGCTCCAGTGTACCACACAGCGATGGAGGAGGTGAGGATGGACTCAATGATGGCCGTGTAAAACTGCACCATCATCTGGGCCGGCAGCTTGGCCTTTTTCAACTGCTGCAGAAAGTACATCCTCTGCTGGGCCTTTTTGAGCAGGGAGCTGATGGATGGCTCCCACCTAAGGTCATGTGTGATGGTGGTTCCGAGGAAGCGGAAGGAGTCCACAGTGGTGACGGGGGAGTCAGTCAGGTCGAGGGGGAGAGATGGGGCTGTGACTTTCCTGAAGTCCACAATCATCTCCACTGTCTTCTGAGCACTGAGCTCCAGGTTGTTGCTGCTGCACCAGTACACCAGCCGTTCCATCCCCCTCCTGTAGGCGGACTCATCACTGTCAGAGATGAGCCCGATGAAGGTGGTGTCGTCCGCAAACTTGATCAGTTTAACGGAGTCATGGCTCGAGGTGCAGCAGTTTGTGTACAGGGAGAAGAGCAGAGGAGAAAGTACACAGCCCTGTGGAGCTCCTGTGCTAATAGTCTTAGCGGTGGAAACATTCTTCCCCAGCCGCACGCACTGCCTACGGTCTGTCAGGAAGTCAGTGATCCACCTGCAGGTGGAGTTGGGTACGTTGAGCATGGAGAGCTTGTCCTGGAGCAGAGCAGGGAGGATGGTGTTGAACGCAGAGCTGAAGTCCACAAACAGGATCCTAGCGTAGGTTCCCGGGGAGTCCAGGTGCTGCAGGATGAAGTGGAGGGCCAGGTTGATGGCGTCGTCTACAGACCTATTGGCTCTGTATGCGAACTGCAGAGGGTCCAGGAGGGGGGAGGTGAAGGACTTGAGATGAGGGAGGACCAGGCGCTCAAAAGACTTCATGACTACAGACGTCAGCGCCACAGGCCTATAATCATTCAGTTCAGTGACACGGGGTTTCTTAGGGACAGGGACAATGGTGGACAGCTTAAAGCAGGCTGGAACATGGCAGGACTCCAAGGAGATGTTAAAGATGTCCATGATGATTGGAGACAGTACCTCTGCGCAGTGTCTCCGGGTTGCTGGGGAGACACCGTCCGGGCCCGGGGATTTCCGTGGGTTTTGCTTACGGAAAAGCCTAAGTACATCCTCTTCTGTCACTGAGAAGGCAGTGGAGGGGGAGGAGTGGTCAGCGGGGACCATACTGTTCGCAGTGATGAAGGTGGTGGGGGAGGCATGTGGCACCAGAGTGGCTGAAGAAACCTGTGCAGTGGGGGGGGGGGGGGGGGGGGGGACGACTTCAAACCTGGCATAAAATGAGTTGAGTTTTTCAGCCAGTTGTAGGTCGTCAACAGCATGTCGGGCTCTAGGCTTGTAGTTTGTGATTTGCCTGAGCCCTCTCCAGACAGAGGCGGTGTCATTGTCAGAGAACTGCTTCTTTAGACATTTATTGTACCGAGATCTTGCCTTCTTCAACTCTTTTGAGAACTGGTACTTAGCTCCCTTGTAGCTTTCTCTCTCCTTGGCTCTGTGGGCTGCTTCTTTCTCCCTTCTCAGCTGTCTCAGTTTGGGTGTGAACCAGGGCTTATCGTTGTTAAAAGTGACCCTGGTTTTTGTTGGAATAATGCTGTCCTCACAGAATTTTATGTATGACGTCACAGTGTCTGTATATTCATCCAAGTTGTCTGTGGCAGATCCA